GAAGGAGGGTGGCAGCAGGGTAGTCTGTGTTTGCTAGGCATACTTTAAAAAATAACAACAGACTGAAACTTGGGACAGTTAATCCTGCTAATGTTGAAATCTGACCAGAGCTCTCCTCATGATATGGGTGTTCAGAATCGTATCTCTGCTGTGGAGTTGGATAACTTTGCCTTTGGGCAAGTCTTCATAATACAAGGCTTCTATACTTTATATTTATATACTGTATTTGTTTACATCTACAGAGTGATCCCTTGAAACAGGATGTTTAGGTATACAACTGAACTATTTTATTCCTTTCTAGTTAAGCACTTAAGTTGTCACAGCTGCTTAGGATCAGACCTTGACAGGAGAAGGTCTTTGAACAAGTAGTCTGTTTCAAAATACTAAAGCTGGGAAGTATTACAGACATATATTCAGAAAATGTTAATTCCATGCACTTCAAATGAGACTAGAACTGTTTCCTTGAGTGAAATCAATCTTCAGAAATAATGCATTAAATGTGGAAACTTGATTTTTTTGCTTGAGAAGAAATTGCAACTGATTTAAGAAACTGCACAGTAAGAATTGTGTAATTATGTATAAGATAATTCAGGAATGGAAAGAAAAATAAGGTTTAGAACTGATTTTTCTCTTCTTTCTTCCTGTAGGTGGCTGATGATGGTTATGGTGTTTCTTATATTATCCTGGGTGAAAATGCCATCCATTTCCATGTCTCCAGCAAAATATCTTGCTCTGAGACGGTAAGGGTCAGTCCTTTTCCTATGGTTTAATAAATCTGTTCTGATATCTACTTATAAAACTACTCTACTTCCTGTCTAAAAAGAAAAATAGTAGGACATGCAACATAGAGTTGTAAAGAGTTTTTTCTTTCTCAACATATGCTATTTTGTTGGGGTTTTTTTGTTTGTTTCCACTCCTATAAATTTAACAGCTTTATGAAACGAGGAAACCATATTCTATTTCAAGGAAAGCATGTGGCCCAGCGTCATCTTTACACATGTAGTTCCCTGGAACTTGTGTAAAATGACTCATATCTGTCCCATAAAGTAACATGGGTGTCTCCTGTTTTTTGTTACTACAGCTTTGCTTTGGTTTTTCTCTTGCTGGACTTGTAAAGACAGAGAGAAATGTATGCTCCTTATTCTTTAAATCTTTTAGGTTTAAATAACCCTTAAAGAAGCTGGCCCATAAATTGTAATCTATACTTGAGAAACAATTAATAAAAAAATTATTAGAATGTAGTAGATTTCATCTATTCAGTATCCTGCTGTTGCAGAGGCCTGATTTGAGTGAGCTTCAATTCATCCTTCCCCTTTAGATTTTTATGACTTTAATAACCATGCTTAGTTTGTTCAGGATTACATAGCTGAACTAGTTTTGCTCTTTTGACCCTAACTTGTCCAAGAGATCTTGGTGCCTTTGGTTAATCATTAAAGATTAGGAAATACAACTTTGTTTTTTCATAGTTCAAATTGTTCTTCAGGTGCCTGTTAGCTTGTACTTTAAATTTCCTTGTATATTTTACTTACTGGTCATGTCAAAGGTCCATACAGGAAAGGCAGCATTTCATTTGCATGGCCTCGATATTAGTATGGTCTTTATAGTCGGTCCTGTAATGTAGCTAATAATTTATATTTATAATCTTAATTTCTTCCTTGTACCATTCATCTGACACTTAGAATAAAAATAAGTTCATAGTTTATTTACACTTAGATAATTGTAATTTTCATTTTAAATTCTTTCTGGGATTTTTCAGTGGCAAAAGATTTAGGATTCTGATAGAAACTCAAATACAAAATGTTTTCCCTGCTCTTCCAGTACTTCTAGGTCATTAGTCATACACTTTCTGAACATTCTTTTGTTTTCTGAAAATTAGCTTTTGCAAAATCTTGTATAAGAAATCAATACCAAAACCCACCTATTTTAATGTAACAGAAAGCTATAGATGCATCTCATTCTAAAAGAAGATTATCTTAGTTCTATCTGCAGGACAGTAAATGCGTAATGAAGAATTTATTAGTCAGTAATAGCATAAACCCAGATTAATTAAGTATTATATATAGTATAGTATTAAATTTTTTATGGTTTCACAGAATGGTGGGGATTGGAAGGGACCTCTGGAGATCCAACCCCCCTGCCAAAGCAGGTCCATCTTAAGCAGGTTGCACAGGATGGGGTCCAGGCAGGTTCTGAATATCTCCAAGAAGGAGACTCCACACCCTCTCTGGGCAGCCTGTCCCAGGGCTCTGGCACCCTCACAGTCAGGGAGTTTCTTCACATCTTCAGATGGAACTTCCTGTGCTCCAGTTTGTGCCCATTGCCCCTTGTCCTGTCACTGGACACCACTAAGAGTCTGGCCCCATCATCTCGACACCTGCCCTTTAGGTATTGATGCACATTGATGATATCCCCTCTCAGTCTGTTCATCTCCAGGCTCAACAGACTCAGCTCTCTCAGCCTTTCCTCATTAGAGAGATGTTCCAGTCCCTCATCATCTTTGTAGCCTTCCTCTGGATTTTCTCCAGCAGTTCCTGGTCTTTCTCGAACTGGGGAGCCCAGAACTGGACACAGCACTCCAGATGTGGCCTCACTGGGGCACAGCAGAGAGGGAGGAGAACCTCCCTTGACCTGCTGGCCACATTCTTCTTCATGCCCCTCAGGAGACCACTGGCCTTCTTGGCCATGGGACACATTGCTGGCTCATGGTTAACCTGCTGTCTGACAGTACTCCCAGGTCCTTCTCTGCAGAGCTGCTTTCCAGCAGGTCAGCTCTCAACCTGTTCTGCTGCCTGGGGTTATTGCCTCCCTTGACCTGCTGGCCACATTCTTCTTCATGCCCCTCAGGAGACCACTGGCCTTCTTGGCCATGGGACACATTGCTGGCTCATGGTTAACCTGCTGTCTGACAGTACTCCCAGGTCCTTCTCTGCAGAGCTGCTTTCCAGCAGGTCAGCTCTCAACCTGTTCTGCTGCCTGGGGTTATTGCTCCCCAGGTGCAGGACTCTACACTTGCCCTTATTGAACTTCATCAGGTTCCTTCCTGCTCAGCAGCTCTCCAGCCTGTCCAGATCTCATGGAATGGCAGCACAGCTTTCTGGTGTATCAGCCATTCCTCCCAGTTTTGTATCATCAGCAAACTGGCTGAAGGTACACTCAGGCCCTTCATCCTGCTTGTTGATGAGTATGTTGAACAAGACTGGACCCAGCACTGACCCCTGGAGAACACTGCTATCTACAGGCTTCCAACTAGACTCTGCACTGCTGACCACAACCCCCTGAGATCTGCTATCAAGCCAGTTCTCAATCCACCGCACTGTCCCCGCAACTAACCCACACTTCCTAAACTTCCCTATGAGGATGCTATGGGAGACAGTGCCAAAAGCCTTGATGAAGTCAAGGTAGACAACACCAACTGGTCCCCCCTCATCTACCCAGCCAGTTGTCCCATCACGGAAGGCCATCAGATTGTTCAAGCATGATTTCCCCTTGCTGAGTCCATGTGACTACTCCTGATAACCTTCTTTTCCTCCAGATACTTAAAGATGACATTGAGAATTAACTGTTCCATCACCTTTCCAGGGATGGAGGTGAGGCTGACTGGCCTGTAGTTTCCTGGGTGCTCCTTCTTGCCCTTTTTGAAGACTAGAGTTACACTGGCTTTTCTTCATCCTCAGGCACCTCTCCTGTTCTCGAGGATCTTTCAGAGATAATGAAGAGTGGCTTAGCAATTAAATCTGCCAGCCCTGTCAGCATTTGTGGGTGCATCCCATTGGAGCCCGTGGATCTGTGGCTGTCAGGTTTGCCTAAATGATCTCTAAACTGATTCTCGTTGACCAAGAGAAAGTCTTTCTTTCTCCAGACTTTCCTTTTTACCTCCAGGGCCTGGGATTCGTGAGGGCTGGCCTTAGCAGTAAAGACTGAAGCCGTCACCAGGACACACCCCTCATTCAGCAGTGGGCCCGTGTTTTCCCAGTCTTCCTTTTGCTACTGATGTACTTGAAGAAGCCCTTCATGTTGTCCTTGATATCCCTTGCCAGATTTAATTCTAAGTGAGCCTTAAGCCTTCCTTGTTGCATCCTTGCATACTCTGACAACATTCCTATGTTCCTCCCAACTGGCCAATCCCTTTTTCCACATTCTGTAAATTTCTTCCATTTGAGTTTTTCCAGAAGCTCCTTGCTCAACCATGCAGGCCTCCTGCCTCCTTTGCTTGATTTCTTTCTCATGGAGATGCATTGATCCTGAGCTTGGAGGAAGTGGTGCTTGAATATTAACTGGCTTTCTTGGACCCCCCCCACCACCACCTTCTAGAGCCCTAACTCAAGGGATTCCTCCAAGTAGATCTTTGAACAGGCTAAAGTTACCTCTCTTGAAGTCCAGGGTTGTAATCCTACTTATTGCCCTGCTTCTTTCACGCAGGATCCTCAGCTCCACCATCTCATGGTCACTGCAGCCAAGGCTGCTCCCAGCTTTCACATCCCAAACCAGTCCTCCTCTGTTTCGTTAGTACAAGGTCCAGCAACACAGCTCTTCTCATTGACTCTTCCACCACCTGGGTCAAAAAGTTATCATCAGTGCTCTGCAGGAGTCTCCTGGACTGTGTGTGCCTAGCTGTGTTGTCTTTCCAGCAAATATCAGGGTGGTTGAAATCTCCCATGAAAACCAGGGCCTGTGATTGTGAGGCTATTTCCAGCTGTCTGTAGAAGGCCTCATCAACTTTCTCATCCTGATCAAGTGGCCTGTAGTAAACACCCACAACAGCATCACCCATATTAGCCTGCCCCTTCATTTTTACCCATGGGCTCTCTTCGTTCTTCATCCACTCCTGGGTAGAGCTTAAGACGTTGCTGTTGCTCTCTCACATAAAGAGCAACTCCACCACCTTGCCTTGCTGGCCTGTCTTTCCTAAATAGTGCATAGCCATCCATGGCAATATTGCAGTCATGTGAGCCATCCCACCATGTCTCTGTAACTGCAATGAGATCATGATTGCACACAGATCTCTAGTTCTTCCTGTTTATTCCCCATGCTGCATGTGTTGGTGTCGAGGGAATTCAGAGAGGTAACTGAGCATGCAGGTTTTTCTGGAAGGGTGCAAGAGGATCCACCATAGCCATGCACATCCTTGAGGTGGCTGGCCTTCTGGTTCTCATCATGGGAGGCAGCTAAGGAACACTTGCTGCTGCTCTGGTTGGCCTGGCTTATTCCCCAGGTGGATACGATGGCACGAGCACTGCCATTTTGGACCACTTCCCCACCCCCAGGAGTCCTCCAGTTTAACTTCCCCAAGTTGGCCAGCCTGCTGCCAAAGATTCCCTTGCCTTTTCTAGAACCGTGTTGAAATTCCCCATTTTATGGTAAAATACCTAATTCCGTAAGCACCAAACTTACAAAATGTTAAAAGGTTCCTTCTTTTGCCTACAAGGTAACTCTTGACAGTACAATTCTTTGGTTCTGTTTTTTGTTTGTTTTTAAAGGATTCTCATCGTTTTGGAAAAAACATCCAAAAAGCAATGGTTGACATCATGGGTTTATTTAACCTTAGTAAAAACTGTACCAAGTAATTTGCCTTATTGGTGCCAAGCAATCTCCTGTTGTTGGGATGAGAACTCTTCTGAACAGTGAACCAGAGCAAGGTTTGTCAAACAGAGAAGAAACTGAGTCAACATCTTCTTGATCACCTATGAAAACTTTAGCAGTGTATTGAATGTTTCATTTTTTTTTTTTTTTTTCAGTAGTTTGGAAGAGTTTATTTCCACAGAGGATGACTTTCAAAATCTTGTATGTTTCTAGGGAGGAAGTATAGTATCACTGCATTAAGTCATGTATATTCTAACTCCTGCAGTTTTCTCTTAGTTTGTATACACTTGCTCTTTTTTTATTTAAAATTAGTCTACTTATATTCCAGAATCAAAGGGATAAAACACACCGTCTTAAAAACTATAAAAAGTTCCATTTGCTATGTATTAACAGCAGAATGTTCTTCAGTGTATTTGCTGCTTTATGTTAATGAATGACAAAACTTGTGGCTGTTTACCTTCATTGGTTTTTTGTTTTTGGGTTTTTTTTTTAAAGGTAATTTCTGTAAAACATTAAAAAAAAAAAAACCCTCTGATATAGCCCATCATAACAGACCAAGTTGTAGAAACTTGTTGCATTTTGGAAAAAAGAAAACAACCCGAACATTGAGTAGTGCTATATTGGATAGTGAAATGTGTCACCTAATTAGCAGGTATCACATTTTTCTTTTACTTACAAACACATTTGCCACATCATTGATTTTATTTCCATAATAATAAATGAACCTTATGTGCTTTTTCATTCATGTGCCTTAGAAAAAGAAAGATCCTAAACCCAGGAGAAAAGCTTATGCTGGGTGTTGATTTGATGTTGTCTTAGTGGTAAAGGAGGTGAAGTAGTAGTAATGCAGATCTAGTTTTCAAATCCTAAGGCTGATGTGGCGGAAGTAGACTTGAATACATTGCCATGTGGTGCAGCTGGGTTTCAAGCTCTAATGCAAAGCTCTCAGCTTAAATGGCAAAGATCAGTCCCTACAAAATGCAGGAGTGACTTTGTTTCAGAGCTACAGATACTCATGTGTTTATTTTGCTGAATGGCATTAGTGGTCATTTGAGAGAAGAATTTCTGGATCCCAGGGAATGTTAATTCAGTTAAACGCGACCTGTTGGAGAGTCTGCGGGGCAAGGCTGCCTGCAGAGGCTGAGAAGCTGCAGTTTGCTGCTTTCAGCCTGGAAGGACCCACTACTACATTGCCAGCCATCTGCATGAGAAGGACAAAGCCATGGGAAAATCCTGGCCTTTCCCAACCCCTCTCGGGAGACGTTCTTGGTCAAGCACAGTTTCTGAAGGATACAAGGAGGGAAGGGAAAGTTATTTCAGTCAAAAAGGAATATAATGTTTCCAGGTGCAGAAACAAAATGGCTGCTACAAAATGGAATAACTCTGTGCACGATGCTTCTCTTCCCCAGCCTTTATCGGCATGGTTACTTTTTCCATCCTGCAGTGCAGTAAAGTGTACCTGTTAGTGCAACAGTTTATTGTATTTTTTTATAAAATGTAAGGTACATGGTGTTTAAGCAATACAGTCAATGCTGCTCCAGAGCTGTGCTGATTTTTAAAAGGCCTTTGGGGTTGATCTAAAACTTCTCATTAGACGTTGAATGTTTTCTGGCCAGTATTTCTAACTTTCTATGCCTCTTCATGTTTGGGGTTTTTGATTGGGTTTTTGGTTTTTTTTGTTTTTTTTTTTTTTTTTTTTTTTTTTAACTCTGATCTAGCTATTAAAACACCTATATATGTATGTTTGAGGTGGGAAACCACAAAGATCCCAGATGCATACTTAAGCAAACGCATGCTTACGGAAATGTAGAAACCCTCACAGGAACTGGCCAAAGACACTCGTTATTTGATTAGGTACAGCGTGTGGGGAAGGACACTTTGAAATAAGCCTTACTGTGGCTGGCAAGCCTGGCATTTATCAAAGTGAAGTGCAACAGTTTCATAGCGATCTGTTCTTTCGGAGCTGCAGAAAAAATGCATTGTTGAGTTTGGTTTTTTTTTTATTATTATTTTATTTTATTGACCACTAACCAACCTGTACTTAAATTAATATTAAGGCATATTAGCTTGTTGGATTTTCTTTAAAAAAACAACCCTTTAGATTTCATTATCAGGTTTTAAATGTTTTAAGTCTAAATGTAGTTAGTGCAGTTATCAATGCAATTTTACATTCTTAGACAGTAAGCATAATCGGCACATGCAGCTGTTTTTTATTGTATATGTTTAAAACATTTTGTGGTGTTAAATGTATCTGTCTAATTTGGGATAGATTGTAATTCTGAAACAGCTAAGATTTTATTTCATTTACTTTAAAATGTCAACAGCATGTAAATAAACTATGCTTTTTGGATGTAAATCTTAGAAATCCACAGTGAATGTAGGTTATTAATAAATAATTAATTTAAATCTTGATGTTCAATATTGTGTACATACAGTAAAACTACTTGCTTTTTTCCTCAAAAGCCATAGGAATGCAAGTGAAATTGCCTAGATTTGAATGAACCTTCTAGTACAGTGTACTTTAATATAAAGTAAAATGTTCATGTTCCAGAAAAACTTTGAACTTGTTACTAAAACCTTGAATCAAATTGTGATTGAAGAGCTCAAAGTTAGGGTTGAGTAGGTGGTAAAAGTAAGATCGGATGATTAATAAATTGACTTGTTTTTTAAATAGCATCGTGAGAATGGTGGAATACCTCCAATGTGCATTTTCCAAATTCCTTGTTTCAGCTATTTCATGCCAGAAATTAGGAGAGCATTAAGTGCATTTAGAGGCTACCATTGTCCAGGATTAACACCATTCCAAACTAAATATTCTTTTCAGGATTGGGTTTTTTGAAAGACTAAGGAAATTTGTGCCTGTCCTTGAAATTCATGGTTCTAATTCAGCCTTCGTACCAGTTGTTTTCTCGTATAAAATATATTAATTTAAGCTAGTTTTTTATCTTGTTCAATTATTCTACATCTATGGTTGATTATTTACATCCAACACTTTTGTCTCTATTTTCTACCCTCTTCTGTGACTTCAAAAAAGAAAATAAAATTTCACAATTACCACTACTTAGTACAATGTTTAATAGCTTTTGTATCTTCTTCCCAAACTCTCTTGCTACTCTTTCTGGACTTGTGAAATCATTGCTATTAAATCCAATTAGGAAAGGTAGTAGCAGACAGTTCAATTTATTTTAGAAGTGATTTATACATGTCTTGCTAGTTAATAAGGAATGTGTTAATGAACAATTTTTTCTTCTTCAAGTTCAGTAGAAAGAAGAACCAACACCGGTCTTACTTTAGATGAGCTTTTTTCATGAGATCCAAATAACTGCTGCAATGCTTCGGTGAAGCAGTCTGTCTGCAAGCTCATGGTTTGATCTTTACAGTGAAGAGTCCATAAAGTATGAATGGTGAGGCAGCGGAGAACTAGTTCAGGCACAGAATGTTGACACTGTTAAAATGTTATGTGCTTTATCGGAAGATTCCCAGTACCCGAAAAACTTCTTTGAAATTGCTTTAAAACTGGGGATTACTTAGAGACAGTTGAAGAGGATTTCTTTTACCTTTTAAAGGTTTGTGTGCTTTTGAATTGCTGTTCAATAAAAAGAGAAACCAACCACCAAACAACAACAACAAACCCACCAAATTTTTAGGAAACTCCTAAAAACACAACCCACCAAATTGTTTTGTGTGACAAGTCATTTTCACAGTCGTTTAGCTGACTGCTTTTCTGGATGTTGCAGCCTTCACTACATCAAAGAACAAGGTGATTTAAATTTCACACTTCATCCCTTAGATACTGTTAGTTCCTGGTTGTGTTTCTAACATCTCCCACCAAGACTGGATATGGAAATTGGTAAATGCTGTATTAAAACTTTCTAAGCACAGAAAATACTGAACTATTTTGGGTGTTTGGTTGTTGTTTTTTTTCCCTGCTTCCCTTTTGCCTCTTTTTAAGGGGGGCAAGGATAAAATGCATCTTGTACTCAGAAAATGTTGCGGCAGTTTTACATGATGCATGGGATTAGTCAGCTTCAACTGAGATTAATGAACTAGAATAAAGTTGGGAAGTACTAGAATAAATTACTTACCTGTTAGATGATGCCTTTGAGAGGGGAGGAGAAAGCCTGAGGTTTCTTTGCTTTAGTTTTTCCCTGACTTTCATGACTGCAGACCTGGGGCAGGCAGGGTGGAAGTTTGTAACCAAAAGTGTAGGAAAAATTGATTCTGTTTTCTTCTTGGATTAATTGTATGGTACCATATGAATGAAAGGTAGCTTGAAATTGTTTGGGGTGGTTTTAGTTGCTGTGTTGCTTTTAATTAACACACAAAAGTTCCTAAAAATTAAGACAGAAATATATAAAATGAAAAGTTCAGGTCTGAATTTGTGCTTTCAAGGAAATCATCTTTTTATCTTAAATGGCCATAGGTAGTGGTCTGATACATTTGGAGTGTTTTCTAAACTCTGAAATCTTGATGGCACCAGGGTGACAATTCCAGGATTCACAGGGTGAGTTGTAGAAAGGGCTCAAGAGCAGGAACTGGAAGCCAGCTGTGTCACAGAGTCACAGCATGGTTGGGGTTGGAAGGGAGTTCTGGAGATAATCTGTGCTGTGCCCAGGACCATGCCCAGATGGCTTTTGGAGTATCTCCAAGGATGGAGACTCCACAACCTCCCTGGGCAACCTGTGCTAGTGCTTGGTCCCCCACACAGTGACAAAGGGTTAACTGCTGTCCAGAGAGAACCTCCTGCTCCAGTCTGTGCCAGCTGCCTCTGCCCGTCACTCAACACCACAGGAAAGAGACTGGCGCCATTTTCTCTGTACCCTCCCTCCCACTCTGTCTCCAGGCCAGACGGTCCCGGCGCTCCCAGACTTATACAGGAGCGATGCCCTGCATCGTCTCCATGGCCCTTTGCTGGGCCCTCACCAGTGTGTGCGTGTCTCTGGCACTGGGGAGCCCAGAGCCGGACTCGGCACAGTGCGAGTGCCGCGTGGCTGCTAACAAATATCCTCGCACTCAGCACCGGGGCCTAGTGGGTCTTGGACTTTCCGAGGGAACTGATGCTTCAACCACAAACCGACCCACC